TATCATAACGACCTCATCACCATCACAACGACCTCATCACTATCATAACGACCTCATCACCATCACAACGACCTCATCACCATCATAACGACCTTATCACCATCATAACGACCTCATCAACATCACAACGACCTTATCACCATCATAACGACCTCATCACCATCATATTTTGTTTCATAATATCCTTTAAAACTTATCTTAATTAAGGGAAGGTGTTGACGAAAACGTTCTAAAAAATACGTGTTATTATTTATCAGATATTCTAAATATTGAAATACACTACAAAATATAAACGAAAAATTGATTAGATACTGACATTTGATTAATCATAAATACATAATTAACGAAATAGTATATACAAGTGCACAGTCAAACGTAGGGAGGGCTAGTATCCCCTCGTAATTGACCAATCCGTCTCGTGCCGTCTAGCCCAAGTACGTATAAGATGCAGTTCAGATCAGAAAAGAAAAAACACTTTGAACATAAGAATGTTTCTTCCGTGGGATACTTAGCTGCACATATCTAACGATATGTACTTTTCTAGGAAACTTAGCTGCATATATACAATATGTACATGGATATGTTCAGTGCAATATGGACCAGAAGTTCTTGGATAAGCCTGATAAGACACAGAAAATATGTATCAAACTTATTAAACTAAACATATAAAATGAGTGACCTCTTCAAGCTTATTTCTCCTTTTTTAACATTTTTGTTTCAATTATTTCTTTGTTCTTACTCATTTGTCTACGTACGTATCTTTAAGATTGTGCCACAAAGGTCACATTATTCATTTTTCCTAAATGTAAAAAGAAATCAGTTATCAGCTTTACCAGAAGTTTATTTAAAGTACTACTCCATCACAGACACGGGTTGGACCTGGGGTAGAACTCTACGTTTCACAGCTGGCTTTCAATCCTACAATACCACAAAATATTCTCCGCACTTTCAGCTGTGAGAGTGTTATAATAGTAACAGTCAATCCATTATTGTGGTGTTGTGCTGCTGACTAGCTGCTTTCCCTCAGTAGTTCAAAATCAGAGGCAGCCTTACTAGCTTTGTCATAAATACTAAATTACAGTATTACTTTTAACGGCCAGAAATTACTTTTTAAAATGAAATAATTATGTTCTTTTTAAATAAAGCCAATCAATGTAATCCTTCAGTTACGTAGAGAAGTGTTTCTCACCCACCAGTCCGTCACAACCACCCTTCAGTTATCTAGAGAAGTGTTTCTCACTCACCAGTCCGTCACAACCACCCTTCAGTTATCTAGAGAAGTGTTTCTCACTCACCAGTCCGTCACAACCACCCTTCAGTTATCTAGAGAAGTGTTTCTCACCAACCAGTCCGTCACAACCACCCTTCAGTTATCTAGAGAAGTGTTTCTCACAGTCCATCACAACCACCCTTCAGTTATCTAGAGAAGTGTTTCTCACCCACCAGTCCGTCACAACCACCCTCCAGTTATCTAGAGAAGTGTTTCTCACTCACCAGTCCGTCACAACCACCCTCCAGTTATCTAGAGTAGTGTTTCTCACCAACCAGTCCGTCACAGCCACCCTTCAGTTATCTAGAGTAGTGTTTCTCACCAACCAGTCCGTCACAGCCACCCTTCAGTTATCTAGAGAAGTGTTTCTCACAGTCCGTCACAACCACCCTTCAGTTTTCTAGAGTAATGTTTCTCACCCAAAGTCCGTCACAACCATCTTGCCAGGCTTTAGGGTTTCACGAAAATAAACAAACAAAATATTCATATACAAATATTAGCAGTCACCGACAATTTACGGAGGCAGTGAGACGGTCCTTGGTAAATATGAAGAAACGCTGGTCTAGAGTTACTGGAGATCACCGACAATTTACGGAGGCAGTGAGACGGTCCTTGGTAAATATGAAGAAACGCTGGTCTAGAGTTACTGGAGATCACCGACAATTTACGGAGGCAGTGAGACGGTCCTTGGTAAATATGAAGAAACGCTGGTCTAGAGTTACTGGAGATTGGAATTCGTGCATTATATCGTGGCCATCTTCTTTGTAAATATTCTACACGAGTCCTAGTGAGATGAATATCTCATTCAAAGGGCCTGGCATACCCTGGTGGTTAGGAAGCTCAACTAGCAATCTGCCGGTCACACGATCGAGACACGTCGCCTAACATGCTCGCATAATGTGTTACTTATATAATTCTGTAAACAATGTGTCACACATATAATTCTGTGGCTAATGCTATGGATAATGTGTCATACATGATGCTGTAGATAATGTGTCACATGCATAGTGCTATGGATAATGTGTCATACATGATGCTGTGGATAATGTGTCACATACATAGTATTTTGTGGATAATGTGTCACATACACAGTATTTGCGGATAATGTGTCACACACAAACGCACAATATTGTGGATAATGTGTCACACACAAACACACACACACACAATATTGTGGATAATGTGTCACACATATAGTATTTGTGGATAATGTGTCACATACATACATTAACTACACTTACAAAACTTGGTTAATTGTACTTAATACGTAAACTGTTTTCGATGTCGTTAGTCTTTTCGAATCAAATCAACGACAATAGGTGTATTAATCTATAAAAGTATTAATTGCTTTAATTAATAAAAGTACTAATTTATTTTTGTACGTATCATTGGAGGGATTTCACATAAACTATTTCGAGATGCAAATATATAGATGTTATTTCAACAAATAATAAAATATTATAATTAGTAATAAAACTGTCTACTAACAACGTTGGCCTCAGTGTTAGAGCAGCAGAAAAAAATCCAAGTTTTTTTAAGTATAAATGACAATACAAAGACAGCATGTGATGTTAAAAAATCTGTATGTTGTGTTTATTTCTAACATGTTAGCTTACCCTTATGGTCACAACATCAAAACGTCGGTCATTAATCCGATTTTTCCATGTCACGTTTTCAGAGGATCAGGGTGTGGACATGTCTACTGAGTTACGAAACCATCCTGCAGCCAACTACGTATTAAATGACGGGTCGCCTTTGGTTGCTCACGTGCGGGAGTTTATCCCTATAGGTAAGAGGCTTTGTACTTCTCAGCATTTACCTAAACCAAGTTTGTAAACAGAACATACCAAAAAAAAATAATTAAAACCTAAGTGTGTTAGGAACAAAAACGCCTACTTCCTTGTGTAAAATCAGGAGGTGAGTGTTAGGACTACATGTATAAAATTGGAAGGTGAGTGTTAGGACTACATGTAGGAAACCAGAAGGTGAGTGTTAGGATTACATATATAAATCCAGAATGTGACTTTTAGGAATAAATGTATAAAACCAGAAGGTGAGTATTAGGGCTAAATGTATAAACCCAGCAGGTGAGTATTAGGACTAATTATATAAAACCAGAAGGTGAGTGTTAGGACTAAATGTATAAACCCAGCAAGTGAGTATTAGGACTATTTATATAAAACCAGAAGATGAGTGTTAGGACTAAATGTATAAACCCAGCAAGTGAGTGTTAGGACTAAATGTATAAACCCAGCAGGTGAGTATTAGGACTAAATGTATAAAACCAGCAGGTGAGTGTTAGTACTACATGTATAAAACCAGAAGTTGATGTGAGCAGTTCTGATCGGCTATTTTGTTTGCTGTTAAACACAAAGCTGCAAAATGGGGTACATATATATGCCGGGCCTACTGCAGGGATCTAAACTCTAATTTTAGCGTTATAAGCTCCCAAGCTTACCGATATTCTGAGATGGTTTTATTAGAAGAAGTGTAAGAGTACATTCTTGTACTGTGTGACTAAAAAATGTTATATATTTGTTGGGCCTAGAATACTGTTACGTCTCCGTTCGCTCCTTAATTTTCCGTAACTTCGTTCCGACGAAACTTTGGCGACACAAGTCCTTTCTTAATAAAACTGGTTTATTCTTTCTGAATATAACTTTGCGATACACATAATTTCAACAGTCGCGCTATAACAAACGTCTCACGTGCTCGATTTCAACAATACTCAATTACACACTCTCTGACTGCATTTCAATTACTCATTACCCTGTTGTCCCGTCACGTTGTGAACGTCTTATATATACAAGACTAACACATATCTAGTAAATGCTAGGGCATTCTTGAAGGAACAGGATATTTCTAGAAAGAGGTGGTGTGATACTAGTCACGTGACCTCGCTGACGCAACAATACAAATAAGCTCGTCACAGATAACAAGCGTGACTAATAAGAAATAATACAAAAACATCATCTATCTTAAAAAGTAGAAAAGTTTGAAAATAAACGTCTTTGTTCTAAACAAATTGGTTTATTGTGGATTTTAAATATTTTTTACTTCAGACTGTTCACGTAGCGATTAAGGCTAGTTTGAACTTACTGAACTGTAGGTACCGTCAAGAATAAACAAACAATTACAATATTACAAATTAAGACTTATTAATTATAAGTGCAGTAAATATTTACATTTATTTATTATAATTAAAATAAAACCAGGCATAGAGGTTTGGGCGCTCGACTCAGAATGTACGGGTTGTGAGTTTGAATCCCTGTCATCGAACATTTTTGCCTTTTTAATCGTGAGGGCGTTATAACGTAACGGTCAATCCCACTATGCGTTGGTAAAAAGAGTAGTTGGTGTTCATTAGTTGCCTTTCCTCTAGTCTATCACTGCTAAATTAGGGAAGGTTAGCGAAAATAGCCCTCGAGCGTACTGGCGCGAAATTCAAAACATAGATAAAACGTAAAATATTAGACAAAAAGTAGACATTTTCTGAAAGAATACAAATACAGCAATTATCTGTATAGAAACTCAACTAATATAAAATATCTATATTAACAATTGCTTATTGAAGTCTTTAATGAATGTAGTGCGATGTTGAAGAGATAGCCAACGACTATTACACTTTTACTTTGGTTTTCTTTTCCATAACAACTCTTTGTTGTTAAGTACAGATCTACTCAAAGGATCTTCTGTGCTCTGCCCACCGCAGGTACCGAAACTCGATTAATTGCGTTATAAACCTACAGTCTTGCCGATAAACTCCAAGCGGGAACAACCGAGAAACAAGTTTGCCTATCTCTATGAATTAGATTATACAGTAGCCCTCCCCCGGGGGCGTCGTTGGTAAATTTCAGAACTCACAACGCTAAAATCCGGGGCTCAATTTCGCCGCGGTGTACAGAGTGCATATAGCACATTGTGATGGTTTGCTATAACCAGAAATATTAACACAATAGCGCCACACCGAGGGCATTAAATAAATTATATATTTGTTATACGTTTTTCATTAATAGTAAATCTTGTAGTGGCAAAACATAAGTTCGCCCTCACTTTGGACGTGTTGTAAAATTCAGTTAATCCCGTTATTCGGTTAAAAGAGCCAGACAAAGCCTTTGTGGTGGCGCGTGCAGTTGGCATCCTTTCCTCGTACCAGTACTTGAAAATTAGTTACTTAATTAAATCCCAGGGGTCTCTGAACCGAAAGTTTAGTCTACGTCTGCATAAGGTGCCGTTTTGATTGAAATTCCAGTTCTCCTTGAAACATTTTAAAATTCAGAAGCATTCGGTGAGATTGGACATGAGTTTAACCTTACTTGAAAGGGCACGAGGACCTGTTATTCCGGATGTCGTTTTGAACTATTTACTACCCAGGTTTGTAATATCGCTCGGAAGTAAACGCGGCACTTCCGTAGGTGTCTTAAACATCGTCATAAACTTCCGATATAAGAAACTAACGACTGCTGTACATCGATTAGATAAAACGTCACTGCTAATTGTTGTAAAAACTATATTATCATAGCTTTGGTGGTATTGTTGTATAAACTAAGCTATCATATCTTTGGTGGTATTGTTGTAAAAACTAAGTTATCATATCTTTGGTGGTATTGTTGTAGAAACTAAGTTAGCATATCTTTGGTGGTATTGTTGTAAAAACTAAGTTATCATATCTTTGGTGGTATTGTTGTAGAAACTAAGTTAGCATATCTTTGGTAGTATTGTTGTAGAAACTAAGTTATCGTATCTTTGGTGGTATTGTTGTAGAAACTATATTATCATATCTTTGGCGGTATTGTTGTAGAAACTATATTATCATATCTTTGGTGGTATTGTTGTAGAAACTAAAACAATACTACCAAAGATATGATAACTTATTGTAGAAACTAAGTTATCATATCTTTGGTAGTATTGTTGTTTCTACAACAATACCACCAAAGATATGATAACTTAGTTTCTACAACAATACTACCAAAGATATGATAACTTAGTAGAAACTAAGTTATCATATCTTTGGTAGTATTGTTGTTGAAACTAAGTTATCATATCGTTGGTGGTATTGTTGTAAAAACTAAGTTATCATATCTTTGGTAGTAAAAGATAAAGTTCTTAGTTCATGTTATTTTATCCCAAGATAGTATTTTCACTGTATCCCTCTCATTAATAAATTCAAGGTCTTATAACCCTAAAATTTGAGGTTCTATCCTTGCAGTGGTCACAGCAGGGAGAGCGCATAGTAATAACTAATCCACTGTACATGATATGAATTAACAAAGGGAATTTATTCTTTCCATGAAAGGCTTAACTAGAGAAGAGATTCCATCCTAAAGAAACTCATGAACATTTCCTGTCATCCTAAAAGTCGTTTTATTTTCATACAGGTCTGAAACGGAAAAGAGATCACACCCTTCAAAAACTTCTCAACCTTCTGAAAAAGGTTGCTGACCACCGTCAAAAACCAATCCACATCATTGGCAAACACATGAGGTTTGGAATCAGCAAGAAGTGAAAATCTTACATGAACAAAATGAATTAACGACTTTAACACTTACTTTTATTTTCTCATTTAATTTTGCTAGTTTTATTTCTGTTTTTTGCTTAATTAATTATTCGCACGATAGATCTGAGGTTAATAATTAAAGTTTTGATGATTAATTATTTTTATTAATACAAATTAACGTTGTTACCTTCGTTAAAAATTTACGACTTCAACTAAGGCTCTTTTGGGCCAGTTATATAATATAAAATTGGATTATTTAAAATAATAACCTAAAACATTTTCATTTTCATATCTATAAATTTTTTATGTAAGTTATACTGTAACGATTCCATAAACCTCAATTTATAATACGTTAGATAAATATTTGTTAGGAATTTGTAATTGTGTAAAAATAAAAGGCCTAAAAAACCATGTCACTTTAATACCTGATACTTTATTAGAGAGATTTTACTTTATTTGTATCTTTTTGTTAACCTTATCAAATTTCTAAATAGGTGTTCTTTGATCAATTAGAACGTTAATTATTTTTATCTTAGAAGCTATCTTTTGTAGCCTAACTTCCTTTATTATTGTAGGAATGAATGAATAAATCGTTTTGAAAACTAAATTTCGTGTATGTTTTATTTATTAACAGCAAACATATTGTCAAGATAGAATACAGCCACTGAAAGATCTGGCAGAAACAAATATGCAGCAACTTAAAATTAAACAAAACGACAAAAAGAATGAGGATGCACAATGGAAGTCAATTTACTCATAAGTACACGCAAAAAAAAAGAAAGAAATTTGACCGAATCCACTTTTCATAAACTCTGGTGATTGAAAGAAATGTTACCAGCCTTGAAATTCCTCTTCGGTCAATAAAACCGTTAAAAACTTTTTAGTCAGTAGCTTTACAACCATCTTTTGAGAAAGGAAAGCTTTAACTGAATAACAAATTCAAAGTGTAACTAAGCCTTAATTGTTCATTCAGTACGTTTTCTCCCAGATAAGAAAGTAAAGGTGATTATTATAAAAATACTAAGACAAAATCAATGAAGTGTTTTTATTTAATTAAACACTCAACGTTTTGCTTTACAGGTTCTTCGGGTGTGTTCACTAAAACACAAACCGAAACTGACAGTACAGACAGAGCTTCAAATAGTTTAAATAATAAATTCTATTTGAATCTATAACGTACATTTGTACAGCGTGCTTTTGACATATTAAGTAGTAAAGCTTATTGTTGAAATAATTAACTGTTTCCTGTTATAAACATAGGTTCTATCAAGGTTACAGAGTGAAATAACAAAAATATAGGATAAAAAATATAATAATTAACATTATAGGCGCCATCTGTGGTCGTAGTTGTTCCACGAGAAGAGCTTTGAATTTTTCTGTCAATGTACTTGATGGCTTTGGTGAGGACTTGTACAGAGAATGGTGGTTTCAAGTCAGGTGTTACTTGTATATGATTGGTTAAAAAACGATCTTAGAATATGTCTTCTATACATCAATGTGCACTACAGAAAATAAATAACGAAGTGGTTTCCAAATTAGAATAAAATTATTGTTAATATTCAAATTTTTTAATTTACAATATTAAAACCAGGTTGATTTTTATTCTTTAGTTTTTCACGCCTAAAATTCCGTTTAATTAATACAACTAGTGTTATGTATCTGCTTGTTTGATAACTTCCCGTAGAAATTCTTTTTGAGAAACTTCACCGATACAAGTCCTTTCTTAACTAAAACTAGTTTATTCTTTCTCAATACAACTTTATAATACACAGAATTTCCACAGTTAATACGTTTGCAATCTCGATAACAAAACACACACTTTATATTACCGTTACTACCGCTCACTTGACTCAATTATCTGTTTCTATCTCTCTCTCTGATATTCCAGTTCCGATTAATTGACTCGCTTTATCTGGCGCGGTTATATACAGGAATAGAGGGCGTCTAGCAAATACTGGATTATTCGTGGTGTTCCCCGATACTTCTAGATATTCATTACGTGATATCAGCGTCACGTGACTTCCGCTGTCGTAACACTAGTTCTAATTGAATGTTAAGTTTTCATAACGCGTTTCGCCAGTGTATTAATTAGAAACATTATCGTTAATATAGCCAACACGGTATTTTTTTTTCTTTTACTCACGTTTACTCTATAGTTAACATATATGTTTAACTGCTCTTCTTAAAGTTGTTTAAATATGGTATAACAAGTAATTAACTCTTTAATTAACAAAATTACAAATATTTCCAAGATGGCGAACAATATCTTTTCGATTGTTTCAGAAGTTTACGCAAAACTGTCCCTAATTTTGAAATGATAGACTACAAGAAAGGCGGCTAGTCAACAGCACTCACCGTCAACTCTTGGACTACTTTGGTTTTTATAGCACACCTCCAACCCCAAAGTGCCGAACGCGTTTTTTTTTTGTTTTTTTTGGAGAAGAGGGGGGGGGGGATCATGATTTCTCGGATTCACAATCTGGGCATTCTAACCAACTGGTCACGCCAAGTCCGTTGCAAAATGCTTTATATATAGAAATACCCGAAGAACAGGTTTTAATGAACGTTTGGTAACATGTATTTTAAACCAGATAGCAAATTAAAGAGCACGTTAACTTACACAAAGAATGGGAAAACTGTAGTCGACTTTTTGAAAAATGTACAGTGGTAGTTAACCCTAAAACACTGTTACATTCGCTTTAAGTGGAATTGTAAGGACACTAGGAAAAATATCGTCCATTATAGGTGGTTTTCTTCAGTTATATTTAATATAACATGGGCAGTTTTGCAAAGTTTAGTATTTGAACTTATATATATGCTAACTAACAAACATGTAAGAACATAAACACGTGCCATCATTTTCTACTCATATTTTTTTAGAAAGATTTAGAGTTTATTTTCTTTTTCCTGAGAAAAAAAAACTGAAGTGAGATCTTTACTAAAACCGCAGCTTCAGTTTCGGCGTGTTCTCTATTGGTTACAGACTTACAAAATTAAAATCCGGGCTTCGATTCACCGTTGACAGAGCGCAGATGGCGCGTTTTGTGGTTTTGCTCTGAAACGTAGTTTTGAATTTAAAATCTACTTAACACGTTCGTGTTATAAGAGGTAACCAAAATCCGCCGTATTAGTTTGATTTGAAAATCTTCTGAAGGCCGTGCTATAGATGGCAACCAGGCCAGAGGGTAGTATTCTAGCGAGGCACTGTTATACATATTACATTCAATTAATCTGTTCTCTAGTGTTTGTTGTAGTAGACCTTTGCTAAGTAGAAGAGCGAGCCATTTACTAAGACCAACAATTTACATGTGTTCAAGAAGCTTAATATGATAATGCAATATAATAGGTTGTTAAATTAGTTCGTGATCATGATACAAAATATCTTAAAGCTTGGGATTAAGATGGATTAAATGGAACTGTTTGTATACACTGATCTTCTATGATCATTGGAGCGGATAAGGGGTGTAACGAATTTGTTATTATATCAACGTTTGTTTAGATTAAATGTATATTTAGAAACATACATAACTGATACTGTTAAATATGTTTTGCGAAACTCCCGCCTATTCAACAAAGTTGTAGAAGATTCTCGAGAGTAAGAATCAACAATATATGTGTGTAAGTAAACGCTTAACTTTGTATTGTTACGTAAAACTGAAATTTCTAGAAAGCCTTCCACACGCCTGTAAATATAACCAACGCGACGCGCCAAAAGAGAGAGTATCTATTATTAGTTTTTTTATAGTCAGTGTGCTATAAACTTTGTAAGCTATAACTGTGATTGTTATATCGCTTATCAATCGGAAAACTTAAGATATTTGACCAGGAACGTTTATAAATTTCGAACATTACAAACCATTTAACTTCAGTGGATTCACATTGGACATTAATACTTTTACGAAAACATTACATAACTTCAACGGTGGAAAACTCAGCGTGTGTGGCAAAGGACAAAGCTAGCAAATCGTACCTACATAAACTCGTAATCAACTCGCTCATCATTAAACCCTCGATAAGATATCAAGGAAGTTCCAGACTAGAAAGAAGACTTTATATTGTCTGTAAGTTTGTGAAACGTTTGTTTATAAATCAGTGTTTGTAATAATTATTTGTAATAACTGTTATTGTAAATTGTACTGTTGTGTGTATATTAAAACGTATTTGTGTTAAAACAGAAAACTGTGTATCAATCTTGTTGGTAAATATTACAAACTGACTATATATCGGCATATATTTAAATGCTAACTCCAAAGTACAATTTAACTACTAAATTTAAATTTTCAGTTCACTCAATTTCATACAATGTCTAATACGTAACAGGGGGGTTACAATCATATATCCTCTTGCCCCTTCTATACTATACTTTAAAAAAAAAGATTACTTTGATAAACACATTGATTTTTATCTATATAAATGATAGTCCAGAAGATTATGATATATCTATACATCCAAGGTTCGTGATGTGTAAAGTAATGAATATATATTGATCACTTCCAAGTAAAAGTTCTATCTCAATTATTTTTATTGTTACTATTTGATCAGTGATTAAAGACACAATGTGTTCAGATATATACAGGAAATGTGGGTGAGGACACGTTTCGGTTAATACTGCATGTGAGTGAGAATATGTTCTGATTAATACTGCATGTGAGTGAGGACCTGTTTTGGTTAATACTAGATGTGAGTGAGGACCCATTCCAGTTAATAGTAAATGTTAGTGAGGACCTGTTTTGGTTAATAATATATGTTAGTGAGGACCTGTTTTGGTTAATAATATATATGTGAGTGAGGACTTTTTCTAGTAAATATTAAATGTTTGTGAGGACCCATTCCAGTTAATAATATATGTGAGTGAGGACCTGTTTTGGTTAATACTAGATGTGAGTGAGGACCCATTCCAGTTAATAGTAAATGTTAGTGAGGACCTGTTTTGGTTAATAATATATATGTGAGTGAGGACTTTTTCTAGTAAATATTAAATGTTTGTGAGGACCCATTCCAGTTAATAATATATGTGAGTGAGGACTTTTTCTAAGTAAATATTAAATGTGAGTGAAGACATAGCTTAATCCCTCTATTTCCAAGTAAACTGAGCTGACAGCTAAGTTCAATGTTTCGGTCCCTTCTGCTTCTCTTCTTATCAAAGTTCAAATATTTGCAAAGTTTAAATGTCCTATCCATCTCCAATTATAATGATTTAGGTGAAATTAGAAAATTTACAAATTTCTATTTTTACGCCATCTGGAGGTCACATACGACATAACCCCACAATATTCGTCGATACTGTAATTAGATGTACGTTCAAAATTCTGTACACATCAAATTAAATAAATTAATTTCGAATTAAGAAAAAACTCATTATCTTAATGTATAAAAATGAAGAGCTCTGGTATTCAGTGAAAGGCCTCGTCGGCTGTGAATAGAGCATATATGATGTGATCGACATATTTTAATTATACATTATTCTAAACTTTCACTCAGAATTTATAATTATTATTTCATCAAATTTCCCGTTGTTACCAACAACTACTGTTAGATGTGGTTATCATAA